AACTCGGACTAATTTCAACTCGGAACTAATTTCAACTCGGAACTAATTTCAGCTCGGAACTAATTTCAACTCAATTTAAAATTAAATTTATCAATTTCCATGAATTCCTAAACAAAATGCAATGAGTCGGTATTGATTTTTTAATTTAGCATTAAAATCCTTAGCAGATAATTCAGAATTCATCTTTTCTGCAACTTTCATTCTTTTTTTTGTTGCAAATGAATAAAGTGGTTCCGAGTTGAAATTAATTCCGAGTCGAAATTAGTTCCGAGTTGAAAGTAGTTCCGCGTTGAAATTAATTCCGAGTTAAAATTAATTCTATACCCCTTTCAGATGGTCTGCCGAAGCTATATGCATCAGTGCGCCGGATTTGACACGATGACTGTTGTTTAGTAATATGAATGAATAAGTAAGTAAATAAATAAATAGCCAGCTTTTACCCGTGTCGGGGCAAACCCATCGGTCAGGACGGTTAGCCAATCCCAGTAACAGACGCCTACTCTACTCACAAAGAATACAGGTAGTTTATAATGCAAATACGCTGAAAGGACTTTAGTTACAGATTCTGGAAGAGAACACAAAGTCTGGTCTGACCATTTTGTTTTAGACAAGACCCTTAGGATCAAAATTGTGACTTTGTGCTAACATAGCTCTCGACGGGTCCCAAATGATCCGTCTATCCAGCTTCACCGACAAAGCTTGGCTCGACGATTTTTAGTCATTTTACAAAGGTACCATGTATTGGGATCGCCTTCCCAGATATCATGAATAACCTCCCCGAAAAATTGACCATGATGAAACTCGAACCGCCGTCTCAGCGCACGTTCTAACGACGCCATCTGATATAAACTTGGACTAAATTACAGTCCAAGTTTATATCAGATGGGACTAGTGTCCCAATTAAACGGAGTTTCTGTTTCATAGCTTCAGATCCTAATTCTACTTTAACAAGCCGTTATTGTTTCAATCTTTCAGCGTGTGGATGTTACCAGTTTTGGGCGAAAAAAAAAAAAAAGATTGCTACTTCAGTGTCTCGGGGTTTTGAAACCCATTTGTTTGTCTTGTTTTCGTTTTCAATTCACACGCATTTTCGGGAGGCTTCCAGACGCAAGACGAGACAGGAATCCCAACAAAAGTTTCTAAATCGCATGAGGTCTCCATCTTGTCCTGCTATCGGCGTCGCTGGAATAAAGAACTTAACAATCATCTCTAGTGTTGTACATTTGTTATCAGTGACCTCGCTCGACATCCGACAAACTCACCCACCAATAGTGGCACTCTTTCTTTTTTCGCTTTTGTTTCTCCACTTAATCTCTCTCTCACTTTTATTGTCTGTGCCGACCCTCTCTCTCCTTCATCTCTCTCTCTCTCTCTCTCTCTCTCTCTATATATATATATATATATATATATATATATATATATATATATATATATATATATATATATATCAGTCACCTTTGTTCATGATTCGAACATTGTTCTGTTTTCCACACGGCCCCCTGATAAGGGGGTGTTTGTGTTTACGGCATTCTGTCTAAAATTATCTTCATTTATCTACCAACACCTTTGCAACTATGTATATTGCCACGTCTGGCATAAGGCTACGACTAAAGAGCAACTTCAGGTTTGCACGAACTACGGCACTATCTGACTCCGATTACTTTGTTTGGTAGGTTAGTTTGTTTTGTTTTAAGGCATATCAACACCTCTATGGTTTATTTAATGTAGACAAGATTTTTAGTGTTGGTAATATTTTTTTTTTTCAGAATTCTATTGCTGGTAATTTTTTTTTTTCAAAAATGCATTGCTGTTAAAAAATTTATATTTTTTAATTTCGCGTATGAGCGCTGTTTGCTTTTTTTCGACTGAACAATACGGTAGAGTCAATCGTTCATTAAAATGCATTTTCATTTTTAAAAATAAAAAATCTTCAATGAAGTTTTTATTTTAGATTTAATTTCAAGCTAATACATTAAATTTTATATTTCCAATAAACAAAATACCCAGCTGTATTTCAAAAACTAATTTAAATTGGCTGGTAGGAATTTTTGTTGCTAAAATAGCTGATTAACGCACGTTTCTAATCATCTTTCATCTCAGTGTAACTATCTTAAAACAATCTTTCAAAAATAAAATAGACTTTTCTGAAACTTTATTTGAAAAATATTAGCTGATTTAGCGCATAATTAATCTGATTTGAAAAAACTTTTATTTACTTTAACTTTAAATATCGCAGAAATGCAGTTTTTAACCCGACACTAGCTGTTTATTTAAGGCGTTCGTGGTTTTGACACCTTGATGACAGATTAACATTGATCTAATACTATTCTTGCTGGCTTTAGGCGTTAAAAAATGATTGCATTAATGCGAACCTCTTTTATATATAATTTCTAAGTTAATCTTAAAAATTTAAGAAGTCATTCTCGTTAATTTAATGCTTTATTGAATCTTAAATATTTTTGGCTGTAAATTACTATTGTCATTGCTATTATTTCCTGATAACGTCATGTATGGTCAGATATAGAAAATCGAAACGTTTATATATATATATATATATATATATATATATATATATATAAAATGAAAATTCATTTAAAAGTGTTTGAGGATTTTTACTAATTTTTTCAATTTAGGATTATTAAATATAGTTTGTAGTTAATAATAATCTATCTATATATAAAACAGAGAATGTATGTGTTTCTGTCTGTCTGTGTGATACCTTTTCACTCGAGATCCATTCAACCGGTTTTGACCAAACTTGACACATGCATTGTACAATGTAAGAGACAGATTCTTAGCAGTAAAAAATCAGTAAATTTTTAAAAAAATCAATAATCGATAAAGCCGCTCAAAAATCGATAAATTATACTTTTTTCTTCAAATTTCGTCCAAAATCGGTATGTAGGTTACTTACATCATGACAAGTTCGAAGATACTTTTTTTTATTTCTATACCACTGCGTTTAACAAAATGTTGCGAAAGACGAAAAATCGATTTCAACACAAATCGATTTCAACACAAATTTTAAACTAAAAACACTCTGAATTTTCAAGCAATCTAATGCAAACTTCACTCAGTTGTGGCCTACAATAAGTTGATTGTTTAATAGTTATTTAGCTTGATAATCGAGTCCACCCATAATATGAAAACTCGCGTGAATAGCGAAAAATGGAGATTTTTACTGGTTCCTTTCTTATTTTTCAGTGATCTTTCAACCAATTTTCTTCAAACTTTACTTATAAATGTATCCTCTTTTATATCCCTAGTAGCACACTGACAAAAAAAAAAAAAAAAACAAAAAAACTCCAAAATAATTCAGGCCTGAAGTGGATCTTCATGTTGCCTGTTTTACCCTTTCGTATCCTCGGCTAACTTCGATTGAATAAATAAAGATTACTTCTGTTATATTAGTAACTACTTTAATTCAAAATGTTTTTTAATGAAAGTATTTTAAAGTAGTTGATGAAGATAGACTCTGTTACATATAAACATGATGCTGTTTTTGCTCCATTCTAATTGAATACTTTTTTGATCGACCAGCTGTGTATGGCTGCTAGTATCCTATAAAAGGATCAAATTAATATAGAACTTTAAAAGATTAAAAAATGTTTAAAACTTAATAAGTTATTCTAATTAAAATGTAAAAAAAAAATGAAAACATATCTTGTAAAAATTCATAATTCATTAAAAATATTTTCTTAAGACAATTGTGTCCTTAATATATCATATTTCTAAAAACAATTAAAACTTTTCTAATTGAATAATATCTTACTTTGATTGAATTTTTACTTTACAATTCAGAGCAGATTTTCGGTAAATGAGTAGTAATTTGAAAAAAGAAATGTTGATTTACATTCTCCAAGGAGTCCTGCTTTCAACTAATATAAATATGAAAAGGAACATATATGTTATCAGCAGACTCATCGATTGACTTGATATAACCTTTTCATTTCATATGAGTGTAAAACGTTAGATAGATCGATATTCAAAATCAGAAAGTTATAAGCGAAAGTTCTGGGTAACATTACGAGGAGAGAGGGATTGGAAAATTTAACTCTCACAGGACATAATGAAGGAAAGCGGTCAGATGGAAACAGTGAAGAAACTATTTAAACTGAGCTTTGGTGAATGGAATGCCGAGTGGTAGGTAAAGAGAGTTGAGAAATAGGCAAACCTAGCTTAGAACAACAAAGGACGTTGTGGAGAGATAAGCCTACATTCTGAAGAGACACAGCACTTAAAAATGAAGAAACTGACCTGCCTTGTTGATCTACTTAACTAAATATAGCATCCGTTGACACAACACCACGAGACTAGACACTAGAGCAAGAGTTAAACTACTAAATTAGGAATTTATAATTAACTTGCTTAAAAATCTCCCTATCAGATGGCATTTAAGCTAGCTCCTGTGGAGGGCTCTTTTAAAAGTTCAACGATAATTCTTCTGTCGCAACAACGCAAAGACAAATTGATGTACGTAGGTCCTTACTTTCCGTACAATTATTTTTTTTATATCATGGATGACTTTCACTGGATTTCGCAATTATTTTCAATTATTCCCAAATTTATTTCCAAGTTATAAAAATTGCTATCGTACAAAAAAAAAAAAATCGTCACCAAAAATCAAACAAAAAATAGCCTAAAAATATCGCAGTAATAAAAACTTGGGAATACAAAATTTCAGCCCAAAATACCTTTAATTTGCTTACGGAGTCGTCCTGATACCAAAATGGTATGATACATTGGGCTACGGTCTCTAGGGGTAAATTTGAAATAGTTTGACACAATGGCACACTGACATTCGCAATTATTATAGAGATTAATCAATCTGCTAGCAATCCATGTATAAATATCACCGTGCAGTATATATTCTCTTATCCCTGCGTACAGCATTGGTTAGCGTGCTGATCTTTAAAGCCCTTGGTCATAAGTTCTCTTCTAAATATTTCATGTGTATGTAGTCGAACGTCAAAATTTATATTGGCTTTATAATTTTAGGGATGGGTACATTGTTTAGTGGTTATCGGTGCCGAAAGTTAAATCACCGTGCGAATTCCACGCTGAGAAACATTCGGAAAGGTATCTCAGGCTTTCAGCAACGGGTTAAATAGCAGAGCCTACTGAGCTCTCGAGATATGGTTTACAACCAGTCTATAATTAGAACCCTGAATTCATAATCTGTTTGGTGCGGAACAGGCTATACCACCACGTAAAAAAACTTACTAGTTGCAGTACCCACCGTAGTAACACTAGTGGGGTGAGGCTGTAGCCCAATACTCCATGGAAGAATCTTTTTTTATCTTTTTTTTTTTTTTACAATGATGTTCCCCCTGTACAAAGTCATAGAGCTAATCCAGGTAGAGGGTTACAGATTAAGATTCACAGTTTATTGGATATGTGGCGAAAATAACGGCTAAGCCTAG